GCTTTAACAATTTATTTCTGTCAAACTAAAATGTATGACCACTGCAATATAACAGTAACTGCTTTTTAATTAATCATAGAATCACGAGATGGTTTGGGTTGGAAGGGACTTTAATAATCATTTACTTCCACCCACCCTGAGCAGGGACACCTTCCACCATCCCAGGTTACTCCAAGCCCCATCCAACCTGGCCTTGGACACTTCCAGGGATCCAGGGGCAGCCACAGCTTCTCTGGACACCCTGTGCCAGGGCCTCACCACCCTCACCACAAAGAATTTCTTCCTAACCTCTAAACTAAATCACTCCTTTTCAATTTAAAACTCTACCCCTTATCTTATCACAATCTGCCATGTAAAATGGAGAAAAAAAATTAAAAAATAATTAATGTCTTTAACACACAGTAAAGGCATAGAATGATAAGGTACATGAAGGTGGGGGTGTTCTAATTTTTGTAAGGAACAAACAWATCTTTCTTTCACAGGCATGGAAGGAACTGGAGCAGTGGGAGCTGCCACAGGACAAGCGGAGGAGCTGAACCTGCCACCCCGTGAAGCCAAATCAGCGAGAAAGCTGAGCACTGTCCAGTCCAAGAGAGGTGACAGACACACCTTTCCATCAGCCAGGAAAAGTGACAGCCACCAAGAGCCACGTGGAGAAACATCTCCTGGTGACACTGTGGAGATTCAGCAGCCAGCGGTCCCAGGGTGCTCCAGCCAGAAGGAAGTGCCCCAACCTTCATCTGGATACAACCAGGAAAGAGAGGAGCCCGAAAGGATGCCCCAACACCAGAATGATGTCAGAGAGTGYGTTGCCATGGTGGCAGCAGAAGGGTGAAGGAGTGATGGGAGAGGGTGAACCACTGCAGTGGGGCTGAGCCTTGTGCCTCTGGGGTCAGAGAAAACCATACTTGYGTTGGGATGGGGACCACATGGCCACGTGGACAAATGACCCTGCAGTCAGCTGGGAGACTTTGATTTTGACCTTTCTCAGCTTCCAAAAGAGGGTGGGTTTATCCAAATTGCCTGTTGAGAGCAATTCTCCTGACTCCTCCAAAACTCACTCCAGGAGTTGTTTTGGGGAGTTCTTCATGGACCTGCCTTGAAATTGCATTCAAAAGCAGTCAGGGATTATCCTAACAGCTCARGAGGGTGTCTGACACTACAATATTCTAGCATGGATGTAGTCTTAGTGTCTAGAGCATTGCTGGTGAGTATGCATATATGTAAATATATGGAAATTTTCCCATTTCTTCCAGCCATACTTTTAGTTGAATTCAAAGAACCTCAACATGTACAAAAATATTTTCCTTTTCATTTATTCAAATTTTATTGTTGCCTGAGTATGTGCTTACATTCCTCTTTACTTAAACCTGTGTAATTTTCTTTTTTCTTTTTTTCTTTTTTTTTTAAATTAAAGTATTTTACTGAGTGAATCTTCACCGTTGCATTGTTTTCTGACACCTTTAAATCAGTGGCTTGTTATGTACACTAATCTTTATGGATGATAATAATAATAATAATGCTGATATTCTTCAGCTGCTCAGAGAATTCCTCTGTGATTTGCTTTACTGAGCTGGAAGATGAGGAACTTTATTAYGCCCTCTCCGTGCCATAAAATTCTTGGTTGTAAGGTGTCCTGGTGGCATCAGGTTAAATTTATGCTCCTTTGTAAAAAAAAAAAAATATATATATATATTACTTGATCAGGAAGATGAGGTTTCTGGCCAGATCAGCAGTGGAAGAGAAGGTGAGAAACCTCAATTTGGGAAAAACTTAAACCAACCACAAACTAGTTCTCTTCAAGATGCAGGAGTTAAGGTTTAAATCGTGGTCAATCTGCTCGGTTTTCTAGGCACAAAAGTAGATTCACCAGCTTTGGTTCCTGCATTATAATCTCTTTATAATCACAATTTTKGGGTGAAATTAGATTGATTGGACACTGAGCCAGGCTTGTGGTCGAGTAAACAATTTTCCTGACTTAAGACACTTGAGGATGAAGATCTTATCAAATGCAATGGATCAGCCTTTCGGACCTCTTCCATGGTATAGAAAAGCCATTTATTATATTATTTTCTGCAGAGACCAAGATTTATTCTCTGCAAATCATCAGTGTAGATCCCTAAGGATCATGATTTAGGGTCTGAATAAAAAGTAATATCTTTCAGAGACATCCAGGGCTGGCAAAATTTTTGGAAAACCCTTCCTTTCCTCCACAGCTGATCTCMAGTTTCAGATGCTTTCACATGGCAGTGGATCCTTCCCTCTCTACAGAAATGCAATTCTTCCATTCCAAGAATTCTATTTACTTTTAGTGTTTCTACTTCTAATTAGTGACTCCACAACATCCAACCAGTATAAAAACAAATAATATGTAATTATATATATCAGAATGTCTGCCAATAATATTGAATGTAAGTTATATGAAAATACTATACAAAAAAAAAATATTTTTGGGGAAAAGTCAGACATATTTGAAATAGTTAAGGGTTAAATTAATCCTTTAGTTCATAATCCTTGGATTTATCTGTACTTTGTTTGCAGAATAAGTAATGTCTTGCATATCTAGACCTACAATGGAACCAGCAGGGCTGAAAGTCTTTAATTGCAGCGTTATCAAACAAGTGAGTGGTGGCACATGGGAAAGAAGTGGGAAGAAACTGAAACAAAACATGGTGACAAATGGGGGCAAACATGCAGCAAATCCTGAATAAGTGACAAATTTAGGGGATCCTATATATTAAAAAAATAAATAAAAAGAAAAACACAACACTGTAGTGATCAGAGAGAAAGACATGAATGAGACTCACTGGTTGAAGTGGTTGAAGCCATTTCATGGCTAAACATGAAACAGCATCTTTTCCAAAAATGGTTGGGTTTAGACTGAGTGCAATAGTGCTTGGATGAAATGGGATCCTGCTACTTTGTGGCTGAGGGAGATCCAGATTTATTTTGAAATATTTTCCACCTATGTTTTCCATGAGACTGAGTTAAAACGTTCGCTCTTACAGAACTCTGTGTTTAGATGAGAAGTTGCGTCTGCCCCATCCCTGGAAGTGTCCAAGGCCAGGTTGGACAGGGCTTGGAGCAACATGGGRTAGTGGAAGGTGTCCCSACCCATGAAATAAATAAGAATGTAGCTGAAAGGRTGCTTTATTTTTAACCAAGCTCTCCAGGCTTTTCTGAATTGCTAGACAATGTATGGTCAAAATTGTTCTTCATCCTTCTTTTTTCTTCCCCTCCCCATTTTGAGGGAGTGATATTTTTTCCTCTTATGTCTGAAGTAGAGTAGTGCATTACAGACAAATTTGCCTAAGGCTTTGGGCCAGAGCTGATGAGACTTCACGAAGATACAGGAACAGGCACATGGATAGAAAAAAGAAAGCCTGTGAAAAATTAAAATGACAAGCCTGGTTAGGGAGCAGAGATAACTGGTGATGTAGTAAAATTAATTACAGTCTGGGTTGAAGGAATTGTGTGCCTAAAAAAAAAAAAAAAAAAAAAAAAAAAAAAGAAGAAAAACCAAATAACAGCAATGAGATTATAAACCCTTTCATCATCTCTGTATGGTATAACTTCCAGTCCCTATTTATTATGGTATTTATAATGGCATTTATTTCTATAGGGTGAGAGGTATAAATGGCAAATAAAGGAGGCAAGTGTCCGGTCAGAAGATTTTTCTCTGAGCTCCAGATTCTGCAATGAATAACCTTATTAAGAGTGAATTACACTCAAAAAAATCTTCAGTGGATCAGGAACTGTGAGACAAAACCTTCTGTGGATCAGGGAAGCGGCATGATAAAACACTCCAATGGTCATTATGGACATTCACTAATTATCCAGATTCATAGGTTTTTAGATATACCTTTTTTACAATTATTATGCATTTGCCAGTATGTGAAATAATTCCAGCTTTCTGTCTACTGAAAGGGGGAAATGCTGGGTGAGAATTTGTTGAACAGCATTGTTTTGCAAAAGCAAAAGCCGAATTCCCCATAGGATCATTCCATGATTCTGGAACACACCAACAAAGGGGAATTCCTCTGGTGTACATAAGTACTGTGTTTTTGGGGAGTGGAGACAGGAAGTAGGTGCTATCTGAGGTACAAAACTTCAGATATTGGGGTGATATAATGGGTTTCAGTGAGGGACAGTGAAGGTCCAAGAAGTTTGAGGTCAGCTTTGRGAGAACCTTTGAGAGGGACCAGAATTTCTTTTCCCTGGCTCAAACCTCTGCATGCAAGGCTGGAGCTGCCAACAACCTTCTCCTCTCCCCAGAGCATTTCAAAATTTTCAGTTTTCAAACAACAAAAACTGCAGTGACCCTTCCATTAGTGAATTTTCCAAATAGGAAAAGAGAAAGACATAGGGGAAAGTTTTATTTTTTAACTGGAAGTTGAAATGTCTGTTGGAGGAGGGTCATTTAGGGAGGTATTTATGCTCTCCATTTGCTTTCTTTTTCTTTTCTTTCCTCTTTTCATTCACAAAGAGAGGAAAAACAATAAGGAATAAGAAACAAAGAGGAAAAAATACAGTTTTGAAGTAAGGCCGTGGCAGAAGATTGCATATAAGCAAGGTCAGCCTCTGAATAGTTCCCATTTTTTATTAGATCTGAGGGCTGCCAGTTTTGGATACTTGGGGATGAAAATAAGAAAAAGGAAAATATGAAATTAGCCCTCCCTGGATTTTCTTTTAAGCAAGAAGAGACTTCTGGGATTGTTGGTTGCTCCTAATGACCTGTTATCCCTGAACATATTATAGAAGTATGGCACTAATTCAATGTTAAACTGAATTATCTATATCCTGTGTGGGGAAAAAAAAATAAACTAATTCTGCTTTTATTTTAAGTGTTCTGCCTGATATTTTCCAGGTTTTGTTGCACAAAAAATAGGGAATAATACTTATTCACCTTGCTTTCCAGATGTACCACACATTCTTCATTACTTTCCAAGTCCTGTGTGAGTCCTGTGGGATTCAGAGACCTGACTTAAAATTCAGCTGAATRGATAAAGGATAATACAGGAAGAGAAGGAGAATATTTATACACAATCCCCCTGAAAAAATCTCTGTATTTGTGCAGCTAAACCTCTGGCTGAGTGGGACCTTGACCTTCAGTCCGCAACTAGAAATCCAGTCAGGTGGAAAAAAAAGAAAACAAACAGGGATGAGAGGGCTTAATAATAAAATCATCCACTTTAATTTGGGCAAAGAAGGACAGAAAGAGGTGACAAAGCCAAGACAGTGGAGTGGGAAAGGGTCTCTGGAGGAGCTCTGTGGGAGAAGGACTCAAGCCAGGTCAGCCTGCATGTCAGAGATAGGGGCAGCACACAGGCTGAGCACAGGGCATCACACAAATTCCCTGCTGCTTTGGGTGAGGGTCATCTCCTTCGTTCCCCAGTGGTCATTTGTCCATGCCTGTGGGTTGGATTAATTTGTGCTTTTTCTCCCGATGCACCTCTCTGTTCCAAAGTACATTAAAGATGAAGATGAAGCCGGTGCCAAGTCTGCAGCCGTCAAAGGAAATAATGCTAAAAATATCCCACCCTTGCTCTCCCTCCCCCACAACCATCTCTCCGTGTCTAGGTGCTGACAAAAGTTATTTGTCGTATTCCCTTCATTTGGTGAGTGACAGGAGACTGGTGTCAAGTGAGAAAATGAAATGTAAATTTTATTAAACACCTTCTCATCTCTGTGTATCAATCCAGATTCCAGCCTAACACAGCAAATCAAATCCTGTCTTCACCAGGCCTGAGGGCACACAAAGAATCATTTCTCCTTAATACCATTCCATCCTAGTAAAATATTTTTCTGTTTAGTAAATGAAAATTTAAAATGCAAACCCTATTTTAATCCCAGAGAAAGGATGTGCATTGCAGAGAGAAGGATGCTGCGTTTTGTTCTGTTCTGCCTCGTTCTTTCTTCTGTTCTCAGACACACAAACCATGATTAGCTGAAACAAAAATTACAACTCCCTTTTAAAACTTGCCCATCGGGACTTTTTATCTGCATGTCCACCTCTGGGCTTAGAAGCTTACCAGTCCAGAGATGATTCAGTATCCACTTGTTTAATACACAATTACATGGTAGATTATATGATGTACTGAAATCTGAAGCACCATTCCCAAGTGAACAGCGTCACAAGTTCATTGCTGTGGSTCTTAGTACCTCTATTTTTTTGAAAATGAGACTTTTAGTCCACCATGAGAAGCAAAATTGKCAGAAAAGGAAACTTTTGCTGAGCGAAGTCCTGGTTGATTTGGGTCTTGGTATTCCCAGACAGAGCATAAAAAAAAATTGGATTCCTTGGGTAACAGTGGGAAGATATTTTGGCTGTTTATTTAGGCTGTGCAGAGTTTGACACTGGGATGGTGA